TCACTGACCCCTCCGGGGTTTGAGGGTGTCTCAGAGCCAGTCACACGATACTTCCTGCTGCCAAGACGAAAATAAAACATTACACATTAGTCACACTATACGTATTTGTACGCTATTACACTTAAGAGTGGAACGTTCCAAGTTCTTCTATGGGATGCAATGACCCACAGTGAAAGGTCTTTCATGGTTTAGTAAGCTGAACGTTTTCTCTGAAAGGACTCACAGGCGTAAATCAACATAAAGTGCCTTACAAATTCACTAACTAGGGTGTCCAGGTGTAAAAACCCCAAAAATTCAAAACTAACTAACTAAATAAATGAATAAATAAATAAGACAGGAAATTGAACTAATTATTGTTTTAACAAATACAAACAAAATATGATAACCATGTAATTGTGAAATAATACAGCCCAAAACTGTCCTGCTTTTCACAGTCATGGTCATTTTAATTTATTTCCAGCTGTTTTTATTTCACAACACCATTATAATTCATATTAATGCCACTTGTTATCACAAAGTCTTTGTTTGTATTTATTCATCATTTTTTTATTTCATTATGTCTTACTTACTTAAAATTGAGCACTTCATCTCTCCATAGACATGAGGGTTGTCTGTCTTTGAATCCATCATTCATCATTTTCAATCAAATATTATTCTGTGTGAAGCACTGACACTTACCTCTCCTTCTTAGCACCTTTGTTCTTATCATCATCTTCTTCATCATCTGATCCAGAGTCACTTTTACCTTCCTCCCAGTCCTTGTAGGAGGAAACCTTTGACTTCTTGTTATTTCTGTCATCGCCACAAGCATCAGCCTGTTCTTTGCTCTCCCGCTCTTTCCTTTTCTGGGCTGCCAGCAGGTCCAAGCCGAGCAAGGAGGTGCGTGGAGTGGGTGCCCGAAAAACATGGGGCTCTGCAGCAGCGCTCTTCTTCTTCAATATCAGTCCACCAACTTGAGCGGCTGGATCAGTCCCTTCCAGTCTATGCATGGACACATCGTCATCCATTATCTGTGGGGAAATAATATGTGCAAAAGGTGAAAATGTTACTCATGGCAACACCTTTAAAACATAATTACTCAGTTATTGTTTCAAACAAGGACTGTCTGCCAATAATGACTTTTTAATTTATGATTTATGAATCATTTGATCTATAAAAGGTCAGAAAATAGTCAAAATCAAAGGTGACCTCTTTATAGTGTTGACATTGTCCGACCAACAGTCCAAAATCCAAAAAGATTTTGTTTACTGTTAAAGAAGAAAATGTAGCGTTTTTTGCGTCTTTTGTTATCAAATTTGTTGCAATTTTTTGTAATTAATAATAATAATTGTCAATGAAAAAAGAGAGTAGCAGCGTGGAAATGTTTGCTAATCTTTCTCAATAAATCACATGAACAAGTAAGTTAATGGGTTATCACATCTGGTTTCTGACGGTCTACTGACTGAGTCAGCACTACAGTGAACCGAGATTCATGGACACAAACACAAACAATTATTATTCATTACGTTCAGCTCAAAAGGTGGAAGGTCTCGACATTGAACTTACTCATAAACAAACCTCCAAACAAGACACTGATACCCTTATTATAAAGTTATAACTCATACATATATGTCAACACTATCAGCATCTTTCGGGCCAGTAGTCGTCCCATTTGTGACCTCAACACTTCCTATTTTACTCCAAGGTCACCAAGGGGGCTAGGCTAACAAGTAAGCAAGTAAAATGATGTGTCCCCCTCGTTTAATAACGATGAGATCAAATGAAATCAAACTACTACGTACCTCGGAGCAGCTAGCGTTGGCTAGCCTGAGAGCTATCAGGGCCGACTAGGCCGCGCGGCAAACTGCGGGAAACTTCTGCGTGTTCCTTTTCGTCTAAAATAAAGAAATTATAACATTTAGTTCAAGATTTGAGGTCAATTTATGGTCGGGTAGGTAGTCACACAAAGTGACGGACCCCTGGCTGCCACTGGAAAATATTTACACAGCGGCTCTCGTAAACACAACGCGTATGTTTACAGACAAGGGAGCAGCCATTGCAATCCCACAATTCTGAGGGGTGGCAGAATTAAAAAAAAAAAGGGAAACTTTATTTAAACAGGTTGTGATAACAGAGGATGAGGAGTGAGTGAAGCACAGCTGCAGTTAGGCATGAGATTGCTATAATCACACAGAAAATGTGACACATGGATGCAAAAAGAAATATTTATTATCTGTTTTAATCCAAAAGCTTAAGTGCACTGAATGATTCAAACAATGATTGCAATGATAATGTCCAATAAAAATGTTTTCAAAGTTTTCCAAACACCACAACTAACCCTTTATTCCAGTAAATATAAACAATAAAAACCTTAGACTACACCCTTTTAGACACTTAAACTAAGAAGAACATCATTAGAAATAATAACACATGTATTACTTACCCAGTTATACGTAAACAAAAAACCCTGTGATTCGTAAAGACTGACAGAAATACTAGCATGGTCTTGTTCTAGAGAAAACTGAAAAGATGATGGAAACAAAACTTAAACCGCAGACACTCTAAAAACACACAAACAAACACAAAACATCATGATCTCTGTTATGGTCTCAGCTGTAACAATTTGCCCTCTCTGCCCATAGATATTATTAAAAAATGCAATGGATAAATTGTGGAAGTGTAAACTAATAACGATTTAAGGATAGCTGAGACAAAAAGAAAGTCACATCTTTGGGATTTTAAATGCAGCAGCCTTGGAAAACTGAAGAATGTGTGGCATCTCTGCCTCATGTTCGGGAAACGCACTATGAGTTGTAAACTGACTTTTTTTTAAAAAAAACATTAAGAGCTTGGAGATTGTGACACTGATTTACAAAATTTTAGATTAAAACATCTATTGATGGTCACATTTAATGAATTTTAGAAACATATTAACTACAAAACATAACGAATAAACTCAAATGAACATATGCAGTACTCCATTTGTTGCTTTAGTTATGAAAAGCCAGGACTACGGTTTATCCTCTTAAATATTTTTTGTTTGTTTGTTTTCAACAAAACAATAGGCATGAACATCAGAAGTGATATTTAAATTGCAACCATTAAGTTGGTGATTAGTTTGAATCCTAACCTTGCATAGTGAGTTATCAGTCTCTCTCTGACACAGCAGGTCACATGGGAGGCTGTAAAGGCAAATAACGTTAAGACTTTAGCATGGTGTACAGAGGTATTTAGGCACTCTGTTGGGATGGGGGCAGGGTTTGAACCTTATACAGCCAACATGTGTTTTGCCTGATGTTGCATGAGTAGCAGATTTTTTTTATCTGGTGGCTTACCAAAAGTTATGCTGTATTGTTAGTGTATATATATATTTTTTATGCTGATTCTATATGTTTTGTAATTTTTTTAAATTTGTGTTCATGACTTTATTTACCAAATTCCTTGTATCTCTATGTGAAAACCTGCTTGGCAATGACCCTGATTCTGATTTCTGACACCTGAATGTGGCTGCAGAGGATGAAAGCTTTACATGTGAAGTATATTATGGACCACTGACAAAGTATAGTATCTGCCGCTACCATCTTGTGGTTGGTAAATTGACATATCAGTAACATACATATTGCACAGGCCCCCCTATCAGCACAGAATGAGGCCCAGTTATTCATATGTAAAAATGTACAATCACTTAAGTAAAGTATGTATGTACTAAATATGTATTTGCACAATTGTCTACTGTCTACAAATGTTATTGTTTTATTGGTTTATATACGTATAACTGTACATGGTAGTTTATGTCTATTTTGTTCAGCTTGTTGTCCTGTTTATTTATGCTTAGTCTGTGCATGTATATTGAGAGCAACGCAAAACCACAGTCAAATTCCTTGTATGTGTGCACATACCTGGCACAATTAAAGTGATTCTGATTCTGATGTAGTACTTTAGTCTAATTAAATCTCCCAAAACTAAGAAAACTGGGTTTTTACCTGTTTCCCTAGTGTTGAAATTGTCTATTATATTATTTGCACTTCATATAAAAGACAAATTTCAATTACATGCTGTATTCTGATATAATTTATTACAAGTTGTGCTGGCCCATTTTCAATTTGTACATTAGTTCCAAATTTTTTATTGGCTGACACAACAGGTCAGAATCAGAATCAGAAATACGTTATTGATCCTCAGGGGGAAATTTGCAGTTGTTGTACTGTACATGTTAAAGAATATAAAGAATACTTATATTACACTATCTAACACAATATATAACAAAGGTAAATGTATAGGTATATGTATAGGTACATATAGGTATATACATATAAGTAAAAAGAAATAGAACATCTTATGGGCACAAGTTACTTATCTTTATAGGCTATATGTTTGCTGATTTCTCCACTATGTTTGAAACATTGCTGTGTTCATTACTTTATTTAAGCAGTCAATTTGCTATGTTATTGGTGGGTGAGCTGGTTGATAAGATAGATGAGAAAGATATCTTTCTGTCATTCGCCCGTTTTACCACAATGTCCATGCCCCCTAAACAGAATCTGGCGGACGTTCAGATTTCAGAAAGCAAGAATTTCATGGTATGACATGGCGAGGTGAAAATAAAACTTGATAAGCTGAGTTCTCTCCATTATATGACAGCTGTGTGCATCTGAAGCCGTTAGAGATGCATATGAATTTATAGTAAATTATCTTGTGCGCACAAGATAAAAAACATTTCCTTTTGGGGACTTTAGGGGCTCCGTAGTAATGCTTTAAAATATCCCGAAAACAAAGCAGCTGTTACGAAATGTTACAAACACACCACATAAAAGTCACCTTAAGTCATCGGAAACGCGAAAAAAAACAAACAAACAAAAAAAAACTTGTATGCGCAATGACAGTGCACATTTGACAACCTTTGTAAACATCCTAGTCTCATGATCATCAACTGCTCGATTTTGATTGGTCGTCAGTCCAAAAGTCGCGGCCTCATTGGTCAGTGGCGGTGTCTCCGCTTCATGGTACAGTAACACGCATGCCATTGGTCTGTTTCACATGTGAGCTGATGTGCCGGGTTAGGGTGTTTTTTGATTTCGTAACCCAACACCGTGTAGCATTCGTGTTGTAATACTGTTGTTTATGTTAGCTCGTCTCCACGGGTGGCATTAGGAGCTGTTTTAGAGGACAACTAGCCGCGTTCAAACACGGCGGAAACTGATCTTGAAGTAGCTAGCTAGCGTTACATCCATACCTGGCTAACAGAGGCTAACGTTAGCTAACCGCTCAATCGATATAGGTTATTAGCATTATCGTTACGATGGGTGAGGAAATCAACGAAACCCTCAATAAGCAATGCAGTGAACCCGCCAGTGCCACCAATGTTGAGGAGAACGGCGAAACGGTGGAAGGCGGTGTAAAATATTACACATTAGAAGAAGTAAGAGTACATAATATGAGCCACGACACATGGCTCATCATCCACGATAAAGTATACGACATCACAACTTTCCTCGAAGAGGTAAGACACACTTTCTGACAGCTGGTAGCAACCACCCAACCATTATCTCGTAATTTTATGTTCGTGTTTTAAGCTTTTAGTTACCAAATTTCGTATAATAATGTCACTTCCCGGTAATTACAAAACGATTGTTTCGCCTTATGTGTCGACGTGTAACGTCTTCAGTCGAGCTGTTAATGATCAGCAACGCTGTTTACAGCCTGTTAGTATAAAGTTTAATCTGGGTTAAACAATACACGGCTTAAGTTACACAAACTAGTGTAACTGGGGGAATACAAATTCTTCTAGCTACAATATAGTTTAACGACTAGTAGTAGTCGTTAAGCTGTTGCCCACCATTTTCATTACGTTATTGTTGCTTACACCGAGATACATCGATATATCTGCATAATATAAGCCTGAACAGCAACATTGTTGGTAATCCTGTATTAAATATTAAATTATAGCTGCATTGACATAGGTTAATTGTGAAAATTGCATTCAGGGTGACACATAAACTATCTGATCTGGCTGTAAGATAACGTCAAGCGACAGTGTAGTAAATGGTCAATAGAAATACCAATGCTGGATAAAGTATGCACACAGAGTAAAAAATGCTCCCTTACAAGTTCTGCACTCAAAACTTAAACTTAAGTTGTACTCATTATCCTAAATCCACTGAAAGATCACATTGGTGTATTTCACTTATTTGGCTGTGATTTCAAGTGTTTCAACAGTTTTTTTTTATCGCTTTGGGGTAAACCTAACCAAGCATAGAAGTTAGCTGTACAATATTATAAGTGTGGGGCAAATAAGGAAATAAACTCGTTAATGCTCTGTGTTAACACATTCTATACCTTCAGCATCCCGGAGGTGAGGAGGTGTTGCTGGAGCAGGCAGGCGCCGATGCCACAGAGAGCTTTGAGGATGTGGGTCATTCTACAGATGCCAGGGAGATGCTCCAGCAGTACTTCATTGGGGAACTTCACATGGTAAGATTGGGCCTCTTCTTAGCTATGAAAAACCTGTTTTCCTTCCTGTAGTATTTTTACACGATGTCCATATGCTTCTGTCAAATACAGAAGTTATGATAAATTGCATTGCTTAAATCTATCCTATTCAAGCTGTAATTAAGCTGTGTCACCAGATTTCTTTGAGGTAAAAAAGTAGACATTTGTTGCACAAAACGTTGCTTGGAGTCACAAGCTGGTGCTATGCGATAATTAGGGTTTTACATGCTTATTAGATGACATCAAATTTAGTGGAAATTGGCTTGTAAAATCCTTTTAGACAAGGTTGTCATGTGAGCATTAGTTCTGTGTCTGGAGAAAAGCAGCAAATTACGTCTATATATATATATATAGATATATAGATATAGATATATTTTTTTTAAAATCTGAATTCAATCCAACTGAGAAAAACCATGCTGCAATTGGAGATCATGCCAGTAGGACAGCAGGCACTACAAATGTAGTCGGCATGGAAGGGTGGCTGGAAAAGCAGGGACAAAAAAGCATGACTGTATGCCAGAGGACTCAAAACAGGCACGTGAAAGAGCCTTATGAACAAATTCTGTTGTGAAAGATATTTTGCCTGTTGGAAACATATCTCATCACATTGAAAAAGGAGTTTTAATCACTGTACTCATTCCTCCTGTTCATACTGGTCAGAACTACAGTCTTTGTTCTGTGTAAAAATTTATTTCAAAGCTACTATGAGGATTCAATTGTTTGAATTAGACAAATCAAGTGGGTAGGAAGTTTTTATTTATAGTTCAGTAATGTACAGTATTACGGATAATACCTCCACAATGTAGGTATAGCTGCGTGTCACAGCAATGCTTTTCTAGCAGTTGGGAAACAACACACGGAAGCTTTACTTTTGTCTTAAGGAGCTGCATCCTTTGTTTACTGAAAAACAGTAAACAACTGCCATTGACAAACTTCACGGCTCACCTTTTCCTCTGCACCGCTTGCATTCAACACACTCACTCTTTCACTCATCCACACACTAACTACGTACACAAAAATTACTTTAGTATCAGCTCAGCACGTTTAGAACATCAACTGAGGTGGTACCAAAAGAAAGTACTAGGTAATAATCATTTTTGGTGGTGCCAGTAATAATGGAAAACCAAAAAAAGAGTGAGCTTTACTGGCCAGTGTAAATAGGAGTGATTACAGTGAGTAAAACAAACAACAGAATAAGTTGCACACAAAGTTTTAAAAATGTCCAACTTTGTCATTTAGTATTTGAATTGTGTTTTAAGTTAAAGTATGCCTTGTTTACTTAGTTCAGTAATTCTCAAGATAACATTGTATACGATAGTGAGGTAGAGGTAGATAAGATAATCATACTGTGGAATTAACAATTGTACTTTTCCAACAAGTTGTCTTGTTTGCCAATAAAACCTACACATTATATTCATATTACTTTAACAAAGGAATTAATGTTTTTGTATTTAGCAGCTATCTGGTGCTTTTACTAGTCCCATTTTTTCCCTCAAGTTTAAAATTGCTGATTGACATTGGAGATTGTAGTGTGGCTATCAGCCAGATGAATGGTTGTTGTGCATGCCTGCTCCGAAGTCCAAGTCCAGAACTAATATATTGTAGGCCAGTTACTTCATATTTAGATTTTGTCAACAGTTTTGATCAACTATGGACTACCTGAGAATCGGACATAATTTTTATTCTTGGCTTGTTGTGTGCAATTTCTGTCGGACCATCACATGAAGGAAGTAATAATAGTACTAATTTAATGATTTTCTTTGTAGGATGACAGAAGAAGACTGGCAGAGGTAAGCGCTTTCTGTTCATCTGACCTCATCCTAAATGCAACAGAAAAGTCACTATAACAGTATTTGTTTTTTGTTTGTTGTACAATATCTCTTTTTAATGTGTCCTTTGTTTTCTGCTACAGGAGGCACAGGACACAAATTCAGGAGAGTCCAGGTGAGTCATGATGAACACCGTGTTATAGGTTTTTTGCTGCAAGTCAACATTGATCACTGTAGTCTGCTGTAAATAAAGTCCTCTTTAAGTTATTGACAGCTCAAAAAAGGCTTCTGGAAATGGGGAGATCTGCTGTATGTGTATATATCCTTATATGTAATATGTAAAAGAAAAACTATTTTCAAGAAACTTTTGGGGAGAGGGGGGGGTTATTTTTGCAAATGGTTAAATATGATTTTCACAGATTTCTGTCTTATTGATTAATGTTTTTTCCCCCCATAGTTCCTGGACCATGTGGTTGATACCTGCCATTGCTGCAATTGTTGTTGGTGTCATGTATCGCTACTACATGTTCGAACACAAGTCTTCTTGAGTGCTGGCATCCTCTTTTCATCTCATTGTTTTCATCTGGAGGCCTCGAAATGTTTGACCAAAACCTCCTTACACTGAACACACACAATTAGGAGTGTGTGCATCCTTTGCAACTAGAAAAGGAGGGGAACAGTTTGATAAAAGTACTTTTGTCCATCTACATAGATTGCACCAAATAGACAATTGGGCAGAAACTTCATTAAAGTGTCTGCCTTCAGTTGCGTTGTACTTCATCGTCACTATGCCTGTTGTCATTCATGTTAAACCCTGTCTTTAACTTAAACTTTCATATGCATTTGACCCAGTTTGTTTCTCTGTATGCTCATTAACCGTTTGCCTGCTCAGAGAAAGGTTTTGTTAACAGCCTGGTATACATTCACCATCACTACTGATAGACTAAATGGAAACACTGATGGAGGTGATCGTATGCAGAATGGTGTTTTAATCAGGGTAATAGTTAACAATGACCATTCTACCGTTTACACTGAATTATAACTTCTAATGCATTTTCTTAGTTTTAATAAAGTGAGAAATGTTACTGCTTCCTAACTCTAAATAGCAATCATGAGTTTATTCCCTTCACTCCTTAATGCACAGTTCTTGTGTTAGCAATGCTAGATTGCCCTTATCACTTGTAAATGCACAATATTTTCCAATTAGGTAATTGCAGTGTCAAATCTTTGCATCTGTTGCTTTTTAAAGATGTGCGTTATACTGTGTGATTATTTAAGGTAGGATGTGTTCTTGCTTTTTCTACACTTCTGTTACCAGGAATTTGTGTAAATGTTCAAAATACCTGGTCCATATATTAATATAAATTTTTGTGGTCATAGAATATTTTATTACCCAAATGTAATAGCTTACAGTGAATGAATACCCTTGAATTAAGAAAAATATCTGTTATTTGATTGTTTTTAGATTCGATTGTCCCCTACTATGCCATTTGTTATTTAACTGATGCTTTTTCACAACTTTGTTTCATTGTCATTTATCTAATTTTGATGTTTTTAATGAATGGTACTGGGAACTGTCACTTGAGGGTTGGAATTGTATTGGATGAAGTCAGTCAGTTGTCATTAGAGCTGTGGATGGGTGTCTTTAAGGGCACAGTTTCACATACATATTTCATTACAGTATGTTAGTTTTTGAAGTTCCTAGGTTTGCACTGTTTAATATGTTTTCATTTAGGCAAGGTTTGCATAGCATTTCAAAAATCACTCCTTTTATTGAATATTCTGAAATTACTATTTTATTTCATATTACTATTGGAAAAAACATTTTCCAACTACAAACAAAAGTTCAAAATTTATGAATATAACTTGCTATTTTTACATGTGGCTACAATATTTACTTGCAGATGTCAAACGTTTGTTGGTTGAACTTCAAGAAATATTTACCATCATTTCTCATCATCAAAATTATCTTTGAATAAAATGACTTTCAAAGTGTATGTGGCTAGTCATTGATATACTGTGTAATGTTTTTCTTCTTGTTCCTATACAGTTTGCTGTTTGATCTTCACTGTGCAGAATGATGTATGTGCAGAGTTTGACACTAGAAGAATGTTTTCACATTAATCTGCTGTAAAGTGGAAAGTTTCTGAGCACACTGAAAATCCGATTTTAAGGGTTGGGCCTACGATTTGTGACATTGCAAAATAGTCAATCCTGGTCCAATTTGTAACTTATAGTTGTGTGATCTAGAAACTTGAAGTCACCAGCACACTAAGAATCCTCTTTACAGTGAAGTAGGACACATCTTCTGTCCAGCAGGAAAAGCCTTTTCATGCTAAAAGAAAAGAACCAATTGTAATCACTGAGAACTGTGAAAGTAGCATGCTCTCTGGTGCAGGGTTTCATACTAGTTTATTTGCCAATATGTTAACTATGGCATGATTGTAGCATGAAGTTATTATGATCCACAAGAACAGAAGGCAGAACAAAATGACAGTCTAACCTAGAAAACAATGATGTGCGTGTTGGCCAGAGTGGATAGACATGAACTCGCTTTTATTTTAATATAATTAATAAAGTATATTTATCTTCTATCTTGAGCTGTGACTGCTGAAAAACAGCTTGTGAACTGTGCAGCACACTCCTTCAGAACAAAAGGTTGGTTGAGTTTTAAAATGACTGGGTGATGCTGGGAACAAGGGATAAGCCCAAGCACAAATACAGGTGTTGTCAGCCTGAAGCTTTTATCCAACTGACACCTGTAATGGCAGCAGCCATGTAAACAACTACACTGACACACTCACCATTGTCAATGTCAGATGAAGTGACTATAGTAAATAAAGCTGTCTCTCATAGCACTTCATTAGCTCATCATTCGTCATACATCTGACTCTCAGACCATTATAACAAAAATGACAAATGCTTTGTATTGGTAAAAATCCACCAATATGTTTTCCTTTTCTTTTAAATATTTATAAACTCAATAATGGATAGTATGTCAAGGCAGTATTGTGCTAATTTGAAAGGAATACACATATGAAAAACTTAACCGGCTTTAATTTCACTCTGTGGCCCTGCTCTTGGCAAATGCACTAAAACCTATTGTAACACATTGTGGAGGAAGGCAATTAATCTATGATAGCAAGAAGAAAGTCAGTCCACTTTCCATGCTTTACATGGAGGTAACAGAGCAAAATGACTGAATGATCCCCATACTCTGGCATCCTTTTGTTAAGAATGTAATCATTGTGCCATTGTGATTTGATGGAAAAAATGCATTAAGGTAGATAATGATATGTGGTTATGTACCTATACTCTGATTTGTTTTCTTCTTTTTCCAATACCAGCACAACGTGAATAATACTTGAGTCCTCCATATGCCTGCTCCCCTCAGCTACTTTTCCTGTGGAGAGGAGCAGGAAACAGTGATTGGAATTAAAGTCCTTCCATCTGCAACCGTCACAAGAGCCCTCACAGGGTCCTCAGGGTGCTCATGAGCAGCACACCACAGAAAGCAAAAATCAACACCCATTCATCCTTTTTAATCAGGCGGGACAAATCAAGAACCGGATGCCCTCTTGTTACATAAATTGATGAATTGTTTATAAGGAATAAAGCATTTTTGTTTAAGACCCCAATAAAACATTTACTAATTGTGTTGAGTTTCTTAAATGTACATTAAAACACACTCAACAGTATAAAATATCAGCAATTCATTATATTTATCACCACCACAACCTGTCAGAAATTATTATAAATATATCGTTGCTTAGAAGGACTCGTCATTTTCATGCCATACTAAGTACAAACACAAGGTGGCACTACAGCCTCAAGATGCTTATTTGTCATTCGTTTCATTTGGCCTTTACCAGAAACAGTGGAAATATATATTAAAATTCCTAATCTTACTTGTGCACCCACTCTAATGAATTCATCACAAAATTCAGCAGTGTTTACCTCCAGGTTTTCATGGGCATGTAACAGCAGTAAACACAATAAACACAATGCTGTCACACATGGTGGGAAAAACATTATGCAATGATGAAAAACAACCTGCAACATTTTTACTGAGATAGTGTGATACTGATAAAGACAATGTGTACAATGGTGGTTGAGATGGTTTAAAATAATAATACCAAATAGAATAGAATGACAAAACTGACATTGGGCTGGTTTTTGTACTTCTGCTTTGTCAGAAACAAGTTAGCACTTGTTCATAAGTACCATACATGACCAAAGTAATTGATGTTAGATATTTGTTAGACCTTAGTTGTAGATATTTTCTCAGTTTTTGACCCAAAGAGCATTAAAGCCATTTTACATCTATGTCAGCCTTGATGTTGTGACAGCAATTATGACCAGACAGATTGATGAGCTCTTATGAGACAGAATATTGTATCTGTGGGAGTACATGAAGCCCATCATTCCCCATGACTGAATTGCTTGTCATCCTCAAGGAGAGCTGAGGCTGCTAATGCACAACACTCCAGTGTCCTGGGAGACCTGCTCGGCAAAAATCTCAAACAGCTGGAAAAACACTTAATGGATGCTGAAGGAATAAACATGATCTCTGACAAGTGGTCTGAGATAGTTCAAAAAGGTCACCTACTCGTGAAATACATATTCAATATGTATTCCACATTTTACCTGTACCATATTTTTTAGGCAGGCCTGGATACTGTGGGAGCAGAGATACACCTGCGTGTCAAGTTGTCTGTGTACAGAGGGAATCTCAAGAGGATTTTGAAGCTTTGACAACTGCCTAAAAGGTTCACTTAAAAACACTCACCTCTCACAATAAAAACATTCCCTACTTCTGAAGGACTTAGACCAAGGAAAGAATTGAATTCACTCCTGAAATAAAGTCAAATTTTCTTTCCTTCTTAGTTTCTGAGTTCCTGAATATATCTGTTTTGTTACAAAGAATGTCAAGTGAAAAGCTATGAAATGAATATACCAGAGCAAATTAGACTAATTAGACTTAGGTTTAATACTTTACTATTTACTACCACTTTCCTATGCGAGTACACTTGGCTCATATCAATATTTCATGACTGATTTGCAAACCATATAGTCACATCCATCACATCATAATCACATCACTTCACATGTATTAAGGAAGTATATCTGTTATTGTTGGTTTCTAACCTTATTCTTTGACAAACTAGTTTTGTGAAACTACTTGAAGTTGCTTCACAAAAGTTGTTGGCCTCATATGTATGTATATTGTTGTTTGTCCTTCATCAGGAAAAACACCAGGCACACAATCAATTGAATTTGTACCCATCCATTATTCAAAAGCCAAAGCATAATATTCTCATCTTCTGATTATTTTCAATATTCTTTATCTCCATACCCCTGGCTCAACCTGTTATCTAACATGGCATTGGTAGGTAGTAATTAGCATAATCCAATTCAAATTATTCATCATAAGACACTATCAGAAGTAAAACTAAAGAAAAACGAACACTGAGAGCAAACATTACCAAAATACAATGACATGTCAAATGTATATGCATAGGCTAACCCCTGAGGTCACTTGTTTAATCACATCTAAATGCTGATAGAGATATATTTTACTTTCAATAAGCACACCATATAAGACACAGACACACTCACCATACAGCATCTGTAATGCAAATGACCAACTCTGATAATACATACAACTTTCAAGACTTCGATTATATCAAAATAGTTTTGTGGAATAATGAACTGTTGTTTAGCTGTACAACTGCAAGTTGTTCGAGTAGTTTGTCATCTAATTGCTGCATGCGGTTTGTCATGTTTTCAGTTATATAATGCCTACAGTGTAATCAGCAGTGTAGTGGTGCCTGGAGAAGTGGATACTCTGTTAATTTATGCCCCAATTGTTTTTAAAATGGCCGGTCCAGCGAAGGATAAACGCCCTGTGTTATTAACAGTGACATGTAAAACTAATCTTGTATATTTAGCACATTGTCACTTAACTCAAGGATCATTATGAATTTAACATAAGCCACAAAAGAGGTGCAGGTTTTGCAATCAATACTGGCCCACAGACAGGCGAGTCATCTACACATTTATGCATTTTGAGTGAAGTATTCCTTATTCCTTACTCCATCCACTCATGAAAATTGGACAACTGTGTCATGCCTTCCCCATCCTTACAAAAAATATCAGCTCGCAGAACACTACTGAATGATGGACATCAGAGGGGATTTAGAAGTGGGTATACCAATGCTGACTGAAACACATGTGGGTATAGCCTTCACTACAATAGTTATACAATAGTTGACTGGGCAATACATTAAATTCAGATTCTTCTTTCTTCCCCTCCAACACATACACATGCTTTAGCCAACTATAAAACAGCATGGGTATTGTGTGTGAAACAAACTGAACTTCCATTTCCTAAGTTAGTGGCAATTACAAACCCCTGAATTACATTTCTGCACACTAGGTATATTGAGGAAACATTGCAAGCGTGAAAAGCTAGAAATGTTACTTTCTGGTTCCATCTCTATCAACGGAAACACAATAATTTATTGATAAGAAAAACATATCCACAACAGCATGTATCAGTGTTGCAGAATTGTTTACAGTTATACTCTACACATGGCCCCAGGTTTCGGAGATATATCCACAGCATACTAAAGCAGTGAAGTACACTGGATTCATGCGGTATTTTGTCTGACAATGCAGAGCTCTTACATGCTGTCAAAAGGACTTTATGACACTCAGGTAGATAAGTTATACTGCTCTTCACTGTTCTTTTGACAGGTCTGTTTTATTCTTTAGTAATGTGGAGTGCAGCAGAACACTACTTTTTTTTTTAAATACCAAACTTAGACCAAGTAATAACACAATTCAAATGCATAATGCTTTATTTATTAGATCATAAACCAATATATTATCCAATGTTATTTGTTTATTCTTTATAAAAATTGAGAATTTAGAAACATAACAAAATGTATACATACAAATGCCATTATTAAGTCAATATTTTTTCTTATATAATTTAATGACAGACCTTCTGATGCTCAACACATTTTAATTTGTGGGGAAGGTCACCATTTACCAATGCACAAACCTTAATGATAGTAACAACAAGCAGCAACCTAAAGGCTAAAATAAGTTGCATAAAAATGTTTTGTGAATTTCAGATTCTTTTTTAACGTTATCTATAATTCACCATGACAGTTAACTGTATTCAGAATAAAATGCAATGGGCATTGCCAAGTTGAATCCATACTGTTGTAGAAGATACTGAGGGGAAGATCATGGGCTTAATATCTCAAAATAAACAACCACAGCCTCAGAAGTTGCCCAAGTTATCTCTTTGGCGGCACAAATGTGGTGACCTTTCTACAGTGTAGCTGCTTAATTACTTTTCTTCTTGCATACACTGAAATGCTGTGACTTAAAGGTTAACTTCTCCCAGCTGTAATATGCCAAGGTCTTTGATGCAATTGAAGAAGAGGTAGATGGCCTCAATCCTTCAAAGTGCTTGCAATCGGATAGTGATGTTAGTTCACAAATGTCTCATATGAATGGAAGTCTAAATATCAGTTTCTTGTGCTGTATTAATGGACTAACCTTACATGTTTCAAGTGAAATATATTGCTCTAAGCAACAAGTCTAAACTGCAATAGTTGACACTATTAAAAAATGGATTATATAACTGTACACAGAATAATGGAATAATGGGCACAGATAAGGTTGATGGCTAACTATAAAACAACTAAAAGGTGGTTTAAGAGGCCGTCTTTGACAGTAAATCAAATATTGTTTGCATAAAACAAAAAATCAAAATAATTGAGCCTATGTTCTAGTCAACTGAACACTATTTCAGACTGAAGTGTTATTAAAAAAAAATAAAAAGAATATACAACAATCAATATAACTCAAATTATAATGATGTAGTCTGTACAGTGGTTATTTCAAATATTTGCCATCATAGACCATCTTGTTATCAACCCATTTGCATTGTAACCCATGTGACCCATTGCTCTAATCTTTACCCTTGGTACCTTATGTAGAGATATGTCAGTAACTTGGCTTCAGTTAACCAGCCCAGCCACTCCATACAAGACAGCACAGACGTCACTGACCTCATCCTTGCCACACTACAAGCGCTCTTCAGGTGCAGAGATCCTAAGCCAAGCTTAACAGGGTGCAGGTGGAGGATACACTGGAGGAACGCTCATGGACGCTGTTGTTATTATCCAGAACTCCTGACACAAACTGTGTATTTGAAGTGCTGCAGCACCCAAGGGTGTCAGCCAGTTGGGGGCAGAGGGCCAGAGCCAGCCTCTGGACGACGAGGTAGAATTTCCTGCGGAAGCTTCGGTTTATCCAGAAGTAGAAGATGCAGTTGAGGAAACCGTTGGAGGTTGGCAGCCACACCACCACAAACTCCATCCACTCTGGTACACTGCTACCTGAGACAGCTGTGGAGCAGAAAACACAGGGACTGAAGTGGGGTATTTCACCACAGCATGTCAACAACAGGTAACACAAGACATCAGCTTCTAGATGAGAAAAGTGGTTGACCTTTGGATGACCTTTTTTATGAGGGGTCACAATTGAAACACAGTATGGCTATGGATGGTTTATGATCATGCATATAAATTGGTAGATTCATTTTAAACCATAGACGAGCATGACATACATCAACCGATAATAAAAAATTAAAAATCACCCTTGGAGATTTGAATCTTTCCCCCTGAGAGCAATTATATGAAGCCATCAACTTAACATTTATAGTATAGATATAAAAATATAAAAATTAACTGATAGATTTGGTGGAGTGGAAGCAACCGCTTCATAGTGAGGCTCACTAGTGTGGACAGCAGCACACATTGAAGTTTCAGTTAAGACTGTCAGCTTCATTTTGCAGGGATTTTCATCCATATCAGATGAATTACAGCCCTCTTTGGAAAAGGTCTTCACTTCTAAAAATATTCAGCTGTGACTCCACTTTCAGCCTTAATTACTCCAAGACAGCACATGCTTGGGGTAAATGAGAAAAAGTCAAAAAAGGTCTGAGTCATAAAACTGGCCTTGAATCAGTATATTCATGCCCAGAATTACATAAATAACTTTGACAGCTATTTTTCTCAGCACAGTTCCAGCTGAAATCAATGGAAAAATAACCGTCAATGTGCCTTTCCTGTATATGCCTATAACTAGCTATTGCTCAGTCATTGTAAGATCAACTGGGACCACATCAGGAACTTTGATTCTAAACCCCTGAACTACAATGCATTGTATTAATAAAGAACCTGGCTGTTGTTGCAAGAGTAGTTTCCATAGTTAGTGTCATGTGGCTTGGATAAACATCAACAGGCTGCATTACCCACACTATTCTCTAGTTTTCTATTAGTGTTGTGGACCACAATTGGCACTTATTGATAGCTGAACACCTTTTTCTTCATTTGCTTAATGACTAAGTTCAGTTATTTGAGCATATGATGTCCATCCATCCATTAGCCTATCTATATGTTCCAATAATAAATAGGCTACTGTATGTTAGAAGCATTTTTAAAGCATTCCCCCACAACAGCAAGCTTTATTCTCACTGATTCATTGCTTACCATTGTAGATCATAGCCGCCATGCAGGGGGTCCAACAGGTGTAGTAGGCTGCCATCACAGGCACAAGAACCCTGGATGCCACATTGTGCCTGCTGCGACGCGCACATTCGTACTTGCGCAGCTTCAACCTCTGCCTCTTGGCAGCGCACCACACTCTCAGGTTTGCATATGTCATGATGATGGAGCAGGGGAAAAATATAAAAGATGTCAAGCTTAGGGAGTATCCAACATTTGTGGAGTAGGATGGATTGCAGACCAGTGATGCGGTAGAAAAATGAACATCGATGATCCCGTCTGGAAATGATACAGGCGACAGTAGGAAGAGAGGGAAGCACCAGGCGAAGGCAATCAGGAGCAGTGTCCTTTTCCTTGTCATCAGAGAGGAGTATTGCAGTGGGTAAAACACCGCAATGTACCTCTCCAGGCTTATCGTGGCCAGTGTATACATGCAGGTGGAGTAAACGGTGGCGTTGCAAAAGGCCACGACATGACAAAGAGCATCTGGCCCTTCGGTGTAGTCCTTAAAAAGACTCACCCAGAGATTCAAGGGCATGACCAGCAGTCCAAACGCAGAGTCTGCAGCAGTGAGAGAGAGGAGAAAGTACCGAGAGTTTCTCGACCAACCAGCCACGGAGGAAGTAATAACCAGGAGAACTGCAATATTTCCCAAAGTGATCATCACGCCCAAAACTATTATTATGCTTACTTTGATGGAGCGATGAGTCAGCTCCTGCAGTGTCTGAGGGTCAACACCTGACAGGTCGGAGTGGTTAGAAGTGGAGAGGTTGAGTGTTGAATACATTTTTCCTCAGAGTGGCATGAGTGCAGCCAAAACATAAGGCCAGGAGGCAAAAATGGTCAATTAAAGTGAGGAAAAGTTTAAGCAAAGATGTGGGGGTACATAAGAAAGCAGCGTTGCAGCTGTTGGTAGCCCTTTACCTGAACAATCAGCGGCACACCTGGTGCAATTAATGTTGGGCGGTAACATCCACTGCAACAGTGTCGCCCTTTCTTTTACTGGTATCAGTAAGTATAATCAGTAGTAAGTTATTTATTTATGATTTTAACTAATTTTGTAAATGTGTAAATTGTATTAGCCTAATTTATTTACATTTATTTAGATAATAGTCCTTTCAGTGGTCGCTCATTGTGTTTCTAATATGATACATAAAGTACTCTTGCTTTAGGCTTTATGTTCTACAGTGTTTAAGTGTGTAAGACAACTTAAAAAATACTCTACAAATTGCCATTTACATAAAAACTCCTTTTAGGCAATTGAGGGATAGCCTATTATATTTCATATAAGTGAAGACTTGAAAAATAATCCCAAAGAAACCAGAAGATGAATTAGAAAGGGCAGATACAATCTCCAAAATGGTGAAAACCATTCTTTATTAACTTTATCCTCACTTTCAGATCACTATGCACATGCTGCAAATTTACATTTCATATTTCTTTAATTCATACATTTATTCATAAAACTCAAACTCGATTATGTGTGCATGTGTTTGTGTATGTGCACATAGTGAGTATGATATGCAACCAATATGAGATATTTCTGTAACAGCTTTAGAGAAAAGTTCCAGGAATATATTCAATAGTATCATAAGAGACAGGCTCATAGTGGGCCTTCTCTTCAGAGGGGCAGGAAGCATCAGTGGCTCGGTATGAAGAATACGTTTCTTTTGTTTTTTCAGGTATATCTTAATACAATATTTACATACCATATGTACATTAAGAGAGTTATTGGTCAGTGTAATTCCTCTAGGACATGGGAGACAAAATGCACAGCCCTTGTTTGGGGCAAAAACTAATTTCTAAGGTAATCAAAGCTGATAAAAGGTTTCAGCAGTTTGAGTTTGCCGAATCAATCGACCCCTAACTCTGTCATATAAGGTAGTATTTCGGCACACAATCACAGTGTTGGATTCTATTTCTGTGACAAGCTATTGATGCAGTCATCTACCAAGATTTTTGGACAACCAAGTCAATGTATTGAATTTTTATCCATTAGCACATTATACATAGGTTCTGGGTTATACCACACCTCAGTAATAATATGTAGAAGCTGATCTGTTTGCTCTCTCAATGGCTTTATTAATTACAGTTAGCAGGACAGTTTTAGTCCTGCAAGGCTTTTATCGCAGCTAGTAGGGTTGTCTCACTAATTGGAATGAATAAAGATGTGATGTGTGTAAAGTGTGGCCTCTACAGTACCTACTATTAGGAAGTAAATGTATCCAATAGCCCTCATGAATAATTCCAATGACAGAAACATTGTAGTCCAAAAAATCTTGTAAAACACAGCTACTTTCATGTTTTACAATTAGCATTACTATGAAACAAATGCTTGTGTTTGTTCCAAAGTATCAGGTGGAGGCAAATAAAAATGCCACTACTGACTATTCCCAACCACCCATTCGATCAAGCTCCATCAAGTTTGCAAGACAGCACAGCGTGGCAGGTTTCACCACCAACAATAACAATGAGTCAGTCAACAATTCATCACTATTAAGGTCCCACAGAAGATGTACGCTCAGTCACAGCCCCGGGAAGCCTGACATCTCTCAACCAATCATGGCCCAATTTCCACGATCACACACCATCAGTGTCAGGTTTTCCTCCACCTCCAGTTCCAGTGACAAACTTAAATGTTTTTGTCTGTACAGCTGAGTGGTAGCTGCCAACTTCCTTCCTTCCAATACATAAAAAAAATAAAAAACTACATGACACAAGGGCAAAGAAAAGGGCAGGAAAGATTGTCACTGACCTTTCCCACTAAGCTAACCATCTGTTTCAGAGGTATTCTTCCGTGTGACAGTCAGTCCATTAAAACAGCACATACCAACACACTCTTCCCAAGCACGTTCACCCACTTCCCTGCATCCCCAGGGACACTAATACCTCCCATAATTTACCAATGTATATCCCTAGCAGACAATCACACAATCATACATATCTTATTAATTTTAACTCCTGATATTACAGTAAATTCATGCTGTGACCTTGAAAAATAGCCCTTGTGAAATACATCTACATCACCCGAAGGAACAAAGGTGTAGAAAACATTAACATCAATGGAAAAATTTAATATTTGTATTGCAAAATTCAAGTAATGAAATAATATTTTTAACTCTGTGATGTCCTCTGCAGAGTCCTACAGTGACTTAGAAGTCGTCATCATTCAAAGTAAAATTTTAGGTATATATTACACAGGATGGACTGTAAATATACACAATATATGGCCCAAAGACACACAGCTTTTCTGCTCCGCTGCTATGGTCGGATTCCCCAGAGGAGAACTGACAGCTATCTGTGTTTGATATATGTGTTTCTCGCTGTCCTAATGAGCAGATTTCTCTTGGTGATGTGTAACATGAGGCCTGGAGGAGGGGATGGACTCAGGATCTTGGGTTAATATTCTCAGCCCCCCTCCCCCAGTTGCATACCCCTTACCTGATTCTGTCTCATTTTGAAAGGATGTGGAAGCACCAGACAGTTTTCCAGATTTAGCATAAGATGCAAAATATATTACTAAAGTGCAAAGAGTTTACAGAATCCTATTTTTTCAGAATACCAATACCAGATCCATTTATTTCCTCCCTAAATGTCCTAATTTTGCTCAATTAACTGTGAAATATCCCTGCTTGTCCTCATGATGCAACAGACCTGACTTACAACCAATACATTTGTTTATTAGCTAATTTAGTGCAAGTGTAGCCCAAAATTTGGGGGGTTTTTTTTAAAGAGGAACCTAATGCTCATTTTGGAAAAAACCAAGGATGTGCACTGTGAGTCATTTTCTTCTCCTCTCAATTCATTCATAAATCCATCTGCTGTTAGATTATTTCTGTGTGGCTCAAATCATGAGATGTTTTTATGTGACATGCAGAGAGAGACAGAGAGAGAGAGAGTGTGTATGTGTGTGTTTCTATGTTGATTCTACATGTGGGTGTGCACACACAAGCAGTACTTGCCCAAAGGTGCATGTGTAAATGAAGCTGATCCGAGAGATAGAGATAGAGAGTGGATGAATTTGTACATGCTTGCAATTGAATATCCTGTGAGTGGGTGGCCACCTACTGTACAGCACTTCCTGATGTGGAGGAAGGTAGCCAATGATTTGATCTGTCTGTGCATGTGTGCTTGTGTGTGAGTGTTTGTGTGGGCAGCAACACGGCAGCATGATGTTTAGGAGCGATAGTATAGTCGAGCGGTTTGATGGGTGATTGTGTGAAAACTTGATGTCCGTCGTGACAGTCTGTCCAACAGATAACAGGGCTCTGCCAGCACAGACAAAACCAACCTGGCAGGTTTGACGTTATTAAAGTGGTGTCTAAGATATAACCTCTTTGTGCCCATACACACCAATGTGTAGTCCCTGGCCTCAAATAAGGAAGACGATCCCATGCTGTTTGCAGAGATAAGTGTAGAAACTGAATGGAGAAAGTACTGTAAGGGGTCTGCATATACATAATCATGTATTGCCTGTCAAAGACAGAAGAAATGTAGAGGAATCATATTCAGATTTGACTAAATAATTCCATACAAACACTATTCATATGGCTCTGCTGCTGGGTAATCCTCCCATTCTTGGACTGCATGCGTTAATCGGAAAAGTGACTCCAATACAATCTTTAATGGTTTTGCTGAAAACAGGGACAGCATGTGTGGGGTTTCCTTTGTGTCCACATTGAAAAAAGATATATCAGAAGTGAGACAGAAGCAGCAAGACAACTGTGGGAGTTTATTGATTAAGTTCAGTCAATTAAAACAAGCCTTTTTCAGGGATTTACAGGGAAACATATTGGTTTCCTAAATGTCGTGTAGGGACCAAAGGATAGCAATCTAGTGCTCCACATTCCTAAAAAAAAGTCCTGGGTAATTTAAGCAGCACACATTGACCCTGTTACACAATGTTTGTATGTCATAGTGCCTCTGCTTCTCTCCCTTGTACAAAAATACCTACACTGAAGCTAGAATTTCAGCCTTGCATAACAGCTATTCCTCTTTCATTTAAACGGCCTGGGCATTGAAGCTCTTTTTCGTTTTTGTGTTTTCAGAGAATCATCATTGAATTCAGCTAATGGGCCTCTCACTAGTCATTCTTATGCAACGGAGGTCTCATTCTCTAACATTTCTCCTTGAAAAAGAGCTCAGAGAAAGGGCCGGCCAAAGAGGGCAAATCCTGATTTGGTACTGCTGTGCATCGAGCATTATAGCATTATACTCACTTTTAACTAAATGATTGAATAGAAGTGAGTGAATGTGAGTCTGTCTGTTGCAATATTTCACCATTAAATGTTGTACAGAGAATAATGTTGTGGATTTTCATGCTGTGTGTGGCAATGTGTTTTAATTCTTAAAAAGTTCTACAATGCAAAACTTTAAGCTGTTTACCTGCCAGAAACGCTGAAGCCATTGATTTGACCTTTAATTTTTGCCAGTGGTTGCAACTTACAAACAGCCACACAATCCTTTGGTAGCCTTGCTGTCAGCAGCCTTATTTTCAAGCCAGTTGCTCCCCACTGACCTGAAATGAATGCAATCTGTCATGTCCAGATTTCAAGGTATTTCAAGTTAATTTCTATACTGCAACTTTGACTGATCATCATGCTGTACCCTAAAGGTTGTTGGGTCCTCATGGACAGTAGAAGAGCCATTACAAAACATTTTAATCATTTCAAAATTTTAATCATTTAACTTACCAAAAGCAGAACTACCCTCTGCAGCTTATCTGATCTGCCATTTTCCATTCCATTCCATACAACATCTGCAAACATGTCCTTCCTCAAAACACCT